GTTTCACTCACTGATTTCTTAGAAAATTTATATGAGTCTCCCAATATTGATGTTCATACAATAGAGGTACATTGAATAGTAAAGAAGGATTTTTTATGAACACCTTGTCTTTCATATTCTTGAGGTATTTCACAAACAGATTTTTGCATCAGGGATATACAAACAAGAAATAGGGCCAAGTATTTGTCTGTTTGACTATTATAACAATAAATCTGCCTTTATTCTTTAATCCTGACAAGCCCACCTTTCGAACCACTACTTATTGAGCACCTGAGGTCTACATGGACTCCGCCTTTATTAAAATAAAAACAATATACTACACTTGAATTTTTTTCTAATGAAACTATAATGGTTCTGGAGTAAACGGACAATTCTTTCGAAAATGGTCCAAAATTATATCGACTGCATACGAATCGAATAAAACTTTCAGGAGTTGTAGGAGTTGTAATTGTTAGCATAACTATAGATTTAAAATTTTTTAAAAAAACTTGCAAAGGGGCCAAAAAGTGGAGACAATTTTGCGTCTGTCACTGAACATTCGATTTCAGAAATGTCTCCATTTTAAGTGATAAGAACAGTGAAGCTTTCAGAGTAAATGCCATTCAATGAGAGAATCACTTCATTAAGCGGGAACTTTTTTGTCAGATGTTTTTGCATTGAAAACTTTCTAATAAAAATCCGCTTTTCCGGATTTTCGGCAGCTAAATGTCTTCAACAACGTACAAGATTTAATTAATCATTTTTTATACATCAGAATCGCTTTTGAATATGCTTTTTAGTGATAAGACTTGGAAATACGAAAACCAAATCTGCCCACTAAGATGAAGGGTTTGGGAGAGGGTTTCTACTTTTTCCTAAACGTTAAGATCATCTGATCAGAAAATTAAGGATTCTGGTAAGGAGCATAGGATATATTCGCAATCTGTTCAGACCGAGCTAACAATAATGATGAAGTTTCAAAATTAGCCCGGCACTTCGGAGTGATGGATTTTCAACGGTATTTTTGCAGAGATTTTTCCCAATTTTCAAACTCATTGGCTATTGAAGTAAACACGTTGTTGTTATAGTCTACGGCAAGAAAATGTCAAATATAAGGTTGTTTCACAGCGATAACGCTTGATTTTCATATCCAAAAATCTTAAAGTTGCGAAAAAAGTGAAAATCCTTCCCCAACTCTTTCGTTTTAGCGATCAGTTTTAGTTCTCAACCTTTCCAAATCCTACAACCAAAAAATACATTCAAAGGCAATTCTAACGCACAAAAAAATACCTATTAAACCTTTACTTCATTCGAGAACTTTAGCTTTCAAAACTCTGAAAAGGTTGATTTTGTGGAAACTTTCTCGATATGAAAAGAATGGGCGTGTGGAGTGTGAGTGTGGGTGCGTGTGGGTCTGAGTGTGCGGGTGCGGGTGCGGATGTGGGTGTTGGTGTAGTTCTTCTCTGCACTCATACCTTCACGTCCACACCTACACCTACCGTGGTTAGGAACGTTGAGAAAAGAACAACCGAAGTCAAGTATGCATATACTATTTTGTTAAAGTCGAGCAGCCGTGTTACTAGAACAAAATAAAAGAACGTTTGATACCTTTAGAGTGAGTCATTTAGGAGACCGCCTCAAAAATCACTAAAAATTGCATAATATGAAATGTTGATTGAACCTTGGGCTTCTCGATTTTTCATATTAAATTCATGCAATTATTTAATGTTTAGATCCATGCAGGTGCTCTACGAGCTGGTATCGTATGTACAGTGAAGATTTAGCAGGTGATGGAATTGAATGTGATTGATAGATATTCTATTCGATATGTTGTTACTACTAGTGCTACCACTGCAACTCGACACAATGCAGTGTTTGGTACTTTGCAATCAATTGATGACACGTCAGCTAAGTATGTTTAAAACTCTATATTTAACGTTATTTTGAACAAATCTAGTTCGAGGCAAGCAATGTAAGTGAAAATATTTCGAAAATGATACCCTTCACGTGTCGTTGCCTTCGACAAATCCCCTAGTTTCAGTGTTATAGTGGGACAACATCATATTCATTTATTTTGTAAAAAAATTTCTCTTCACGACTGTTTGTCAATTGACATTTTCTGATAATAATACAGCTGCTGATTCTTTTTTCTTCACAAAACTTTACTCCTATGTGGAATTATTGAAGTTACTAGGATGTCTAATCCAATCAATGTAAACGTGTCACATCAAACGATGAGTTTTCTTCAGACAGCTGACTGTATCATCATGAATGGTCTCATTTTCAAATTTTTTTCTTTTTTGATTGAGAATTTTTACTTGGCAATTCATCATCGGTTTTAATTGATTTTCGTACAGAAAATGGTGGCTATGGTTGAGTGTGGGCCATAACAAAACAAACATTCACATGCATATCCTAATGATTTTGTTTTTTTTTAATTTGAAAACAACAAAATATTTTCTTTTCTACTTTAGAATTCGCCAATCAGCTGATGGATGTTTTCACAACCTACGAACATCATCAATAATAGACATGACACTTTAAGTTTACTTTAAAAGCTAAAGTTAAAGTAATGCTTTAAACTTTAAGAGTTCGAGTTAAAGTAGCCCGTTGTAACATTTTAACTTTACAAAAATCAAAGGTAAAGTAGGTATCTTGAGGTCATGTATGAGGATTTGAGAGTTAAGTTTGATGCTGAAGTCTCATGGATTTTTCACAAAGTTCTCTGATCCGAGCCGATAACTCTTCAAGAGTTACCCTACAGAGATATCCAATAATGATCATAGACTTTCCTATGCGAGTATTCACGGCTGTTGCTTGCTTATTCTAGTGGAATAGCCATAGCTGTTGAAATGCAATGTAAATGTAGTGCACATCTCGCTACATGGTATCTGAGTGGATGTGTGTCGTATCTGTAAAGGGAGATCTAAGCGTAGCCTCCTCAGTTCGTCAAGGAGTTTCGAAGGAGAGAAGAGGTAGATCCATCATCTTCGAAATGCCTATCTTTCATTTATTCATGCAGTTGAATGAAATAGTTGTCAATGGAGTCAAGAAAAACCAGCAAGAGCTATACAGTGATCATTCTTATCGTTGTTGCAGGTGTCCGCTCGAAAACTCTGTATATCGTATGAAGAGCTGACTGTCTTGATCCCGGCAGATCTATCGCTGTGTTAGGACTCAAAAAACATTAGAATCTCTTATATTGTTTTCTTTGAAGGAGGATCCTAAGGTAAAAGTTCCAAAACTATAATCAACAAAGAAAGAAAAAAAATATGTATGTGTATGTTGCTGTAGGAACAAATAATAGCTTCTACGCTGTTGAACAAAAGCAGACTCATAGCCTTGATCACACTATGTAGACTGAAGATCTGATCGAAAGAGGGTCACGTCATATCGATGACAAGCATATAATGCGATCAAGTTTATCAAATGATAACATAGACATCAGGGTGACCATGAGCACAGCAACTAATTGTCAGTTTGATCGTGAACGTGTAAATGATAAGCACAACTTCAGCGTAACTCAGTCTAAATAAAAAGGGGCCTTAGGAAGCGAATATAGTTGCGACCTCGTTGCGAAAGTTGGAAAGAATATCCTGCACAATTTAGGACTTAGCAATACTGTAGCAGACCATATGACACTTAGAAAAAGGCTTCAAAAGTCTCACAGAAATTGAATCATTTGTACGGGTTGCTGGACCATTAACTAGACCTAAAAAAAGTTTCATTGACCTTTCACAATCATTTTGGTCGCCCCATGGGTTTCTACAAAGCATTTTCGAATGTAACAGAAAAATACTATCCGATACTATTATTTTTTCTCAATACACGGTCACCCGCAACACCTCCGATGACGAACAAGGAAAACCCTTGAATCCTACTAAGTGAACGCCAACCACACTGATTTTCCGAACAAACATAAACCATTCTTTAGACGTAGAAATAGTCATGAAAACCGTCATGCATGCCACGTGGTATAGCATAAAATAAGGATATTACCCCATAGTCACCACATTACCAACGCAAGGGTTTTCCCAATAATATTAAAACGCACGTCATGGTTCACAAAATCTAAGTTGAGAATCAATGACGTGAAAGTTGTTCATTCCGAAGAACTTGAAAGCTAGAATAATCATGCAGGTCCACAGCAACACAGACATGCACCATTTATCGAAAAAAACACGACTCACTACACAAAAGCAATCGATTATTCATCAGAATACCTCTTTTTCTTCACTGAGAAATTATCGATACCATCCAGAAAGTGTGTCTTCAACCATTATGTTTTCATGGCAGAAAAACAGGATGAATTTCCAAAATCCAACCAGTAATCCTACGAAATATGTCACGGAAACTAAATTTCGCCATAGCCACGTTATCGAGACCATCTCATGACAAGCAATCATATGAAATCATGAATGTTCCGAAAACATCTTCATTAGGTGCGGATATTGTCACCAAAAACTGCTCGAAGAAACATCAGAACCACTAGTATATTATCGTGGAGGAACAACACAGACGAGTTTTCGACAGCTCATGACAACTTCTCGGTGCTACCATAGGATAGTCCATGATGATTTATAGGTAATCTGGTAAGATAGTTCTTGAACAGTTATCATCCAGGATTAGAGAACTTTGTTTTCAGCTCCTGAAATCCTAAAATCGAACTGAACTTTTCTACTTTCATATATGACCTCAAGATTTCTAATATAGCTCTGATTTTCTTAAAATTAAAATGGTAAGTAGATTTCTTTAACATTAAATGGAGCTCTTGACCTTTAAAGTTATACTTTAACTTTAACTTTTAACACTTTATTACACTTTCTAAAGACAAACTGACTTATCTAGTCAATATATTTATCTATTTGAAATATGTTTAAAATTTTCTAAAAGCTAGACTATGGAAATTAGATAAATCTTGCTGAAATTTATGTTCTTAGAATAAAAATTAATATGATTTACTCTCTTCATGTGAAGAATAAAACTTGCTTTCGTTTTCAATTTTTTAGATATATATAATCATGTTGATGATTTATGTCGCTATTTTTACTTTATTTCTTGCATCAAGGATTTCATCTCTTCCGGCGCCATCCACTCTTTATTCAGCTGTTATCTATAATGCACGGAAGACACCAATTCAATGTGTTACATTCTGGAGTTCTTATTCAGTTCCTAATTTTAAAATTGGCCCCTTTACTATTCAAAGTAATAGATATAAAATATTAAGCGAGGTAGAATTTAATTTTGGAAGTTGGCGTGGAGCGGGAATAATAAAGAAAATTCAATGCGGAAAATTGGTACTTACTGCTCCATTTCAAAATGTTCGAACAGCAACAAGAAATTGGGAATTCCGTGTTCAACCAAATAAAATTGTGTCGGTTGGCCCAAGTTCATATAAAACTGATAAATGTTAATGTTTTTCTAACTATTTGACGCTTACCAACATCACATATACGTGTATACATGTAACTATATATCAGAAAGAAGAAAGTTATTCTTGTTTTATATCTATAGCAGAGATCTGTGAATCATCATATGAGATTATCCTAGCCCGTTCAGTTGTAAGACAGTGCTAAAATTGTCGGCGACGAAGTCGTGGTGAAGCATCAGGAAATTTGACGGTTTCTCACCCTGTTAGTCTACATACATTTCAGTCCGCATTATTTTATAGCATAAAAAAGGAATAGTCAATGTAGTGTATGTCCACAAAGACGAATATGAAATCTTTACAGGTCGATAAATAACTGATTCATACTTCAACAGCTGACACTAAAACATAACGTCCCTGTCACAACAATGTCTTGGGCTCGTGCATGAAAAATACAGTACTGAAAAATTATAGAATCACTGTATTTTTGAAATTTTTCAATGAAGAAGAGTAGTTAGACTAAATGGAAATAGCGATTTCGATAGCACTTGAAATTTTCTATTGAATACAATATGTATCAGTATCCAAATAGGAACTTTGTCAAGATAGTCTTCCAGAAAAGCGTTTCCACAAATTTTAAAGTTCTAGAAACATTTGACAAAAAACATTTTCAAACTAGTCATCTAAAAGAGCAGAATTTTCTGAACAAAACGAGGGTCGCCCAGCTCTCCATGATTTTTTTGCAAAGTTACAAGCTTTAGAAATCCGGAGACATTGCAAAATTTATCAAAAAATTGCTAAAAGTCGACTAAAAACAACTTTTTTGTGTTTTCCTAGAGTTTGTAGATTTGGAAAAAAGTCATGGAGAGCCGGATGACCCTCATTTTGTTCAGAATTCTCTACTCTTTCAGATGGCTAGCTTGAAAAAGGTTTTTGTCAAATGCTTCTAGAACTTTAAAATTTTCGAAAACGGTTTTCTGGAAATCTGTCTTATCAAAGTTCCTCTTGGAATTTTGATGTGTGCGGTATTCAATAGAAAATCCCAAGAGCTATCCAAATCACTATTTGGATTTAGTCTAAGTGCTCTTCTTCATTGAAAAATTTCAAAAATACAGTGATTCTATAATTTTTCACAGTACTCTGTATCTCATGACTAATATTTTGAAATCGATTTGCTAAGTGTGTTTATTCAAAGCTTTGTTTTGTGTGAACATCTTTATTGTTTTCGAGAACACATCAAGGAATCCATCGAGAATGAACTGTCCCGATGTATTCTGATTGAGATAAATAAAGCTGAAGATTATATTGTCGTAGATTGCTAGAATAGATATTATAAATTTGAATTGAATCAAAAGATAATATTTTTTTACCCTCACAAAAGAATGCTGAAAATATAACTCATTTTATAATACATAGCGTGGTCGTATGGTTCAGTTTTAGGTTGATCATTTATTCTTATAGAACAGGGTATCGATAAAATACGATCGTCCCGTAAAGCCAGGTAAATTAGTGCACTTTCTTGGAGCATAGTGGATAAAGACTATGAATGTTTAACTTCATTGCTGGAGAAATTTTCAAACGTCGTTGACCAAAAGATTGTTCGGCAGAAGCACAGCGAAGTAATGATGGCATAACTGTGTAGTTGTTTCACGAGTCTCTGATCTATATTTTCTTTTTCCTCTTTGATATATATAATTGCACATATATACGTAATTGTGTGTTGTTCTTTCTTACTTTTCATTATCTCATTATTCTATTTTTCTTTACTTGCATGCTTTTTATTTTTATGCTGGAAAAGTTTTCATTCATTGTTTTTTAAAGAATACAAAAGAAGAAAATGGAGGCTAGCGTAAGCTACAATGATCAATATTTGACATGACGATATTAGCGTAATAGGATGAGAAGCATTTTATTGAGAATTGTATTCAATCATTCTAATCAAGATCTTGATCAAACATTTATTAATCGTTTTGTTCTAGTAATTAAAAACGAAAAATAGAAAGTATCTATGATAAAAAAGGGTATGGGTTTGCACAATTATTTCAAAGTCTGCTCCTACACCTACATTCTAATGAAATATAAGTCGAACATATATTGAGATTCATAATAAATGAACGATAGAAATCTGAGGCCTGCCTACGCTATATGAGTGCTGACAAGTACACTATTGATGTCTCCTTTTTCCATTTCACATAGGGTTCGATACATGCCTTAGATGAAAAAAGAAAATCAATGCATTCTTGTTCTTGTAGATTTGCTTGGGATGACAAGAGTAGGAACCCGAATATACAGATGAATAGTCGAATCTTTTCAGAAATCATTCTTGAGTTTTCATTATTTGCATGCATCTACATACATTGACTTTACATGAAAATTGGCTTATCTTCGAACATCTTCGCAATCACGGATGATTCTCCTGTTCTTTTGCAACACTATGTCTTCCAAACAGGCATTGAAGTTCCCGTTTATGGAAGATGAAGCATTTGCTAGAAATTATAAAATCTTTCGACATTTGATAATAGTTCTACAACGTTCGAGTGTTTGCTCAATCGTTTATCGACGTAGGAAAAGTGTTGAGAATAGTAGCGAACAAAAAACTCTGATATTATTCGTAATTTAGACGGCTAAGTTAACTTGTAATTGCGTTTATACATAAAAGTCATAAAACGATTCAGAGCGGACGTGAATGCATCTAGGTTTTGACTGTATACTTCGAAGTCTATTGTGACATGTAAAACATTGAGCAACATATTAAAGAGTTATATGAGAACTAACGTTCATTGAGACAGGATTCGCTAGATTCTACAATGACACCATAAAAACATTCATACAGACCTATGTCAGTGCGAATGTAGATGTATTATAAAGAGACAACCATGTCCACATATCTACTCTAAGCCAAACTGAAATAAAAAGTCATTATTTATTGTTATTCATTTTTAGCAACTATTTATTCATTATCATAATAAAAAAATGAACAGATGCTTAATATAAGTATTTATCAGTCTATGTTTTAATTGTTCTTGATCTCAAGTACGCATTTTTTATCACTATTTGTTGATCGTAAAGTATAGATGGACCGAAAAAAGATATCAATAATATTCTTCCGCGTAAATTGATACCATTAAAGTCAGTGTCATTTCAGATTGATATCATGTGTGCTACAATAGTTTTGCTCTTAACATGACGAAAAATAATAACAAAAACAAGAATTATTAAATTTCCAAACGATATCAGATAAATATCGAGTAAGATCAACACATCGAACTGACTAGCAACAGCAAAATGGTTGCGTGTAGTATTGTTGATCGGTACTTCTATGGGTAGCCAATCACAAAAGGCATACGATTCCCAAAAACAATCGTTTCGTCTACAGCACATTGTAGAGCACGTTGTGATGATCATTTTGATAAAAACATATTGTAATTTACTCAATAAATAATGGTGCTACAGTCAAGATGCGCAAAAAACCTTCCGCTTGTTCTTACTTCTGCTAAGCAATAGTTAAAGTTTGGGATATTTTGCCTCTAGAACCATTATTTATTGGGTAAATTACAATATATTTTTATCAAAATGATCAACACAACGAGCTCTACAATGTTCTGCACACGAAACGATTTTTTTGGGAATCTTATGCCTTTTGTGGTTGGCTACCCATAGAAGTATCTATCAAAAATACTACACGCAACTATTTTGCTGTTAGTAGTTACAATGTTAATATTCGTTTAGTATGTACACTTGAAAATACGTGGTTGTGTCATTTAGCACACACTAGCTAAAATAGAAGCATTTGTACTGATGAATAAGAGGGACGATCGTATTGGGTGAATATGGTCACACTCATTGAGAAACTAAAGAATTTAAAATATGAACTGTTGATGGCTTACCTATATAGAGATATTCAATTTTTAAGTTCTTCATTAATTGAGTATACAAACATGATAATATATGAAATATTCACATGAGTTTTTAACATAATTATCAGATTTTTTAGGAAATGCGTCTCCAAAATCGAGATCAGTTTTTTTTGACACCATTTACATTACTCTAGATACGATTTCTGCTGAAGTCCAATAGTGTCTAGTAAAAGATATATAGAGTATTATATACGGAAATTCGTCATTTATCAATCGTTTTGACTTTATTTTACAAGAAGTTGATAAACTGTACAAAATAATATTTCAATAGAGTCGCTATACATGGAGATAAAGATCTTAAATCAAGTGATAATAACAAGGATGTCTTTTCACCAGATGCAAGTTAGAAGAGTTCGTTCTTCACAACTACTAACTGAACAATGACGGTCACAAAATTTAAAACAAACATCATTTGTTTTCTTGATTTCACCAATAGTTTCGTTGAGTATTTTAGATTGCATGAATCTAGACTTAATGAGACTTTTGAATTGTGGAGCAGATAATTGATTGTCAATGATAGAATACATATTCATGAAATATTGACGATCATTCAAGTTCATTTCCGTTCGATTGATATGGACATCATGTTTGACTCTCTCATGAATAGGTCCCTATGAACGAAACAATGGCAGATCTTGCGGTTGAAAATGACCAGTAGATCCTTGAGGAAAAACTAATAATTGACTGTCTTAATATGGAAATACTGCTTTAAATCGTGTTAGATCACCTTGAGTTGTTCAACAATCATGAAAAAGAAGAAATTTTCTATCGACCAAAGGGCGTAGAGGTTCATTTAAAAATGTGCAATGTTTTACATCACTACTTTTTCGAGATTTTGAAGCTCGTACGACAACATTCGGTGGCACGATTAAATCTTTTTGCACTCTTTTACCAAATTCATTTTCTTTTTCTTCAAGGATAAGCGTGTGGGTGTAGATGGGGGTCGGATGTGGGTGCCGATGTGGGTGTGGGTGTTGTTGTCAGTTACATTAACACCCATACCCTTCAAATAGTAACATAAAAAGAATTCGTGCAAAATGGAAGGAAAGGTGCTAATCTTAAAAATAAGAATATAATATGAACGGTGAATTTGAATCAATTTGCATTTAATGAATCTTATTTTATTATATAATAGTCAGCTCATTAATGAAAATAGGTGGTTTGTCATATTAAGGAGCCGTAAGTAGATCGGTAGCATCGAGTACACTGATATAATCCTACTATGTAAGATAGAAATAGTTTAAAATGAGATGCTTATCTAAACCTATGAGTATATTGGAAAGAACTGTTAATAAATAATTTATTCTCAAAAAATTTTGTTTGTCTTTTAATTTCTATGAACGATCAATGTTGTTCGATCTATTATGGACGAAATAATGTCAAGTAAAAATAATACTTATATAATGAATAAAAAAATTGTTCTGTCACATTCGCTTGAAAAAAGATTCATAGTATGGGAAATGTATTGCTGTTTGAACTTTTTTTTAAATAGGTAATAAAGTTTGTTTATTACAATTAAGAACTTGATGCACAAAGACATTCGATATAGAAAAGATTATAAACTTCAGAAAAGACTCACATACCAGAGATGGGCAAGTCAAGTCAAGTCATTTTTGACTTGGCTTGACATGACTTGAAGAAGAGTAAGATGACTTGAGACTTGACTGTGACTTGTAAATGATTTTTTTTATTGACTGGTGACTTGGTCTGACTTGACTTAACTTTTGACTTGCCGAAAAAATGCAAGTCAAGTCAAGCATATTCTTGTAGTTACAATGTAAATTATGTTAAAAAAAAACTTAAAGTTTTTTTTCTACTGTGAACTTTTGCACTTTTGCCATAGCTAGTATATGGAAAATCTTCATTTTCTGTTCATGATAAATATGAATAATTTCTATCGATTAAAAAAAGTAAAATATATACCATTCTTATTAGTAGTTACATAACCAATGATAACAGATTCAGATAATTCATGCATTGCCTATTTTATTAATCCAGTTAAATTTATTTCAACATTTATTGAGATAAAACATGAGTGAAGTCATTTTACAAAATGATTATGATGTTTCACAAGTTTCTCCAGATGTATGTGTATTATCACCTGGTTCAGCACTTTCTTCTGCATCGAGTGATTCATTTCCAGCACCATTACAAAGTATTGATAATATTCGAAAAGCAATGCGAGATAAATTTCATGCGAATTTAAAATCATTAAAAAAATTGGTCTGGTGAATGTATTTTATATAATAAAATTCAATATGGCAATAAAGGTGTAACATCAAACATGAATCGACATATAAAAATCCAACGCAGACAAGGATATCAAGAGTGGAATGCTGAATTAAATCACGTTATTAATAAAAACCAAAAAAAAATAACTAATGTATTTCTGAAAAACGATGGAATAAGAAGAAAATCATCAGCTTCAAAATCTGTTTATAATGTTAATCATTCACGTCAAATTCAACTATCTAAATCTATTGTACAAAATCTAATCATTGATTTCGGTTTACCATTATCAATAGTTGAACATGAAGCATTTAATAGATTCATGAATACAATAGATCCAAAGTTTACTATGACTAGTAGACGAACATTAAGTCGTACAACAATTCTACGTTTATATGATATAATGAATGATGAATTAAAGAAGTTTTGTAATTAATCTAATTTTATATCCCTTACCCTTGACATATGGACAGATCGTCGATTGCGAGCTTTTTTTGCAATTACAGGTATCATTTCAACATTTTTCAAATGTTCTGATATTTGGCAGTAATATTGATTCATTAAGCATTTTATTTTTTTTTAAGGTCATGCTTTTGTTAACAATGTACTAAAATCCTACGTATTATGCTTTTTACCTTGATATGGTAGTCATAATGCTAATTTGTTGTTACAAACGTATGAAAATGTAGTTAACAGGTTTGATATACAAACAAAATTAGTTCATTTAGTGACAGATAATGCTGCCAACAACATTAAAGCATTTGAAAATTTAATAATAGCAGGTTTTCAGAATCATTTTGATATTGAAGATAATGATAATGATGACGAAGGAAGTGATATTAATGTAGATGATGTTAACGATGGTGATAATGAAGAATTGTCTATACAAGTTAGAGATAATGATGATACGGATATAATTGAATTAATTAAACATAGTTTTCATAGTATTGCTGCAAATAGTGAAGCATTACATATACCATGTTTTGCTCATACTATACAGTTGATCGCAAATGACGGTTTAAAGCAAATTTCATCAATACAAACAGCTTTATCAAAAGTTTCAAAGATTGCTAAACTATCTCATACGAGTATTATTTTTTCAGAGAAGCTGGAAAACATAGGAAAATCAATACATAAAGCCAACGGTTCATTCTCAAAAGATATACAATCTTTTTTATAATTAAATCGGCAAAAATGATTAGCTAGATGTAAATGGTAGTTTTTTTTTCTTTTAATTTTGCAATTTATACACAGCTATTTGATTCATTCATTAACAGTCTAAAGATCTTCTAGCTATTTCAACTTGCTGTAGCTATTTATACTTTTTCATAGCTATGTAATCGAGAACAGAACTAAATAATGAATTCT